TTGTAAGGAGCATAATGGCTGCACATCTTCCAGGACAGATTTGTTTGCTCTTCTGGCAGCCCATGGTATTTTCAGTATTCTTCTTCAATACCACAAGTCAAAGACATTAACTCTTCTTTGGTCTTCTTCATTCATTGTCCATTTCTCACATGCGTATGTTGTTGTTGATTTAGCATGAGCTAATCTGGACTTACCCTGATACACATGCAACATTAGATCCAAGTTGACTCCACATTGTCTGTCATTGTCTTTGGATCAGCAGGCTAGTCAGGGCTTATTCTTTTCAGGTCAGTGACAGAAGTTAAGAGAGAAAATCCTCCCAAACAAGCACATTTCAAGTCTTTACTCACATAACCTCTGCTAGCATCCTGTTGGCCAAAGCAAGTCATATGGCCAAACTCAAGTCCAGGGGGTGACGAAGTTTACTGTGCCTATAGGAGAGTGAATATTGTGCTGAACAATAACCCAAACTCTCATATCTGGCTCCCACTGGGCTCAAAATACTTAAAAATCATACTAAAAAAAGATAGACCTCAATTCTAGCTATGAGAAACAATGTTTAAATGAGGAAAGTCAGGCATGGAGATCTTAAAGTGATGTTCCCTGAATTGCCAAAAGTCACAAACAGAGCCAGAATGAAGCTGTCTCTTGAGTCCCACCATAGGACTCTATTAACTATGACACAAATTGGATCACTAAATAAGCCCCAATACATTTGGCAATCTCATTGTGTAGCATGGCCCACACCAATCTTTTGCCTTGAGAATCCTCCCCAGACTTCCTTACAATTCTAAATTCAAGCTATCTTTTAAGATATGTTGTTGTTACAAAGAAAAAAAAAGAAAGAAAGAAAAGAAGAAGAAGAAGTCACCCCTGACTAAATGGAATGAAACACTACCTGTACTTGTGCCATCCTCATGGTCAGATGCAGATTGGGCCATTGTGATTCATAGCGTTTTTATTGGCTGATTTTCAGAAGTACGTCACTAGGTCTTTCTTTCTAGTCCATCTTCATTTGGAAGCTCTGCTGAAACCAGTTCAACATCATAGCAACATGCATGTCTCCATCAACAGATGGGTGGTGGCTATGCGTGAGGTAACTTGGCCAGGAATTGAACATAGGTCTCCTGCATGGAATGCAAAAATTCTGCGATTGAAACACCACTGCCCTCATTTTAAAGATGTAAATATCTTAAAGAGTAAAATTAGGAGATCTAGGTTTCAGTCCCAGCTCCATCTACTTTGACATTGGGCGACTACTTAATTTCTCTCAGCCCAAGTTTTGTCATTTGCAAGATAAGGATAATTTCACAATGCTTTATGAAGATTAAAAGAGATGTTTGTAAAAACAATTCGAGCATAACAAGTGCACAATTAAATAGGAATTTAAAGTAATTTTTTCTCTTCACTCCAAAAATAGACATCATCTCCCCTTCCACTGAACTACTAAGGGTACTTATTCAATTCAATTAAGCATGAGATATAACAGGAATTATGAGTTCACCTCCCCACACAGGCCAGGCAGGTACCATGTAAATGTTAAGAAAACTATAGCTTCTTTCATGCTGGTGTTTTATCCTGCATTTCCCCCCCCCCCCACAGACCCATATGTTTGCATGGGCACATTGCTTGGGGCTTCTGGGGCAACTTTATTTAAGGCTGGGCCCCGGACAGGTGGGGAAGTGAGCAGAGCAGTTAGGAACAACTAAGGGAGATGAACTTGTCTGTCACTTTGTCATCCTGTGGTGGCTTGTGTGTTGCTGTGAGGTTGGAGGCTATGCCTCTGGTGTTGCAAAATGCCAGCAGGATTACCCATGGTGGACAGGTTTCAGTGGAGCTTCTAGACTAAGATGGGAACTCTGATGGCAATTGTGCTAGATTGTGGATTGTGCTGGATTGTGGGTATAGGGAAGTAGGACAGATTGCCTAGGATGGTGGGCAGAGCTTGAACAATGGCTATTTATGAACCAATATAGAATTTCTTACTAACTTGCCAGCTGAGTCTCAGCCTTGGTTCTCTCTCATTTTTTTTAAAACCTGCAACTTCTTGCTCTTTGTTTTCCAATTTTTGATAGAGACATGAGTACAAAGCAATAATACCTTATTAATGTAATAATTAATTAATGTAATGATAAATAATTACCAGGGAGCCCTGGTAGCATAGTGGCTAAAGCACTTGACTGCTAACCAGAAGGCTGGTGGTTCAAACCCACCAGCCACTCCTCGGAAGGAAGACTGGGCAATCTACTTCTGTAGACATACCACCTCAGAAACCCAAGGAGGGGTCACTATGAGTCAGAATTGACTCGAAGGCAGTGAGTTAGGGTTTTTTTTTTTTTTTTTGGTTTGGTTATAAGTACTTGCATCACCAAAAAGCAGGCAGCTCTCATTCATCTCCAGCCAAATATTGTCTTGTACCAGTTGGAACTTCCAATTTTTCAAGAGAAGCCAAGAATGTAGATTTTTATATGAAATTTTTAATATTGGCTCAATAATTTTTAAATCTCTGTGTAGGCCAATACTATGATCTCTGGTCTATTGAATGCATATTCTAGCCATTGCAGTGGATCAAAGATGTGAATTCTTCACTGAGAGGACTGATCATTGGATGCAGAGGTGACAATTCTTAATTTAGAGTTGGATGGTGCTTATGATTAACTGATTTGTACAATGAGTTGCTTTTTCTTGTTTGTGTGTCTTATCTCTCAACCAGACTATAAAATTTTAAGGACAAGAATTCTATGCTGCATTTGTCCTCAGCACCAAATGCCTTGCTCACGTTTTCTTTGATTTGTGTCCTAACAGTCCATTGCTTAGTGTTGTTGTTGTTGTTGTTATTTGCCGTCGAGTCGGCCCCGACTCATAGCGACCCTCCTTGGGTTTCTGAGGCAGTATCACTACGGAAGTAGGATTGCCCAACCTTCCTTCCAAGGAGTGGCTGGTGGGTTTGAACCGCCAGCCTTCTGGTTAGCAGTCAAGTGCCTTACACACTATGCTACCAGAGCTCCCATTGCTTAGTGTACACAATAGAAATGAACATATGATGCCCTCCATGGTAAAGCCATTTCAATAAAGTTATTATCTCTCTGCATAAACAGTAGCTTGCAAATAGTAAGTGTGGTGCTTACGATTGTGTGTTGACTTGGCTTGTCCATGATTTTGAGTGGCATGGCCACTGGATGTAGTTATTCCTCATGATGAGATTGGATGTGGTGTAATCAACTCCATGGGGAATCTGCTATGAGATGTTAATCAGTGGAAAGAGAATTACCTTTGGGGTGTGGCCTGCTTCCAGTATATAGGAGAAACTTTGGGAAAGTCTCCAGCTTTTTGTTGCATTTTGGGCCATGTTGCCTGCTGATCTTGGGATTGTGCCATTTTACCTGCCAATTTTGGGTTCATCAGCTTTAGCAGCCAGTAGCTGCATGAGTCAGAAGAAGCCTCCAGCTTCCAAGGGCCTGGAACAAGAGGTCGAAGGACATTCACCCAGCCCCTAGAGCTGGCACTCTGAATTCAGACTTCTAGCCCCCTAAACTGTAAGAGAATAAGTTCTTGTTTGTTGAAGCCATCCACTTGTGGTATTTCTGTTATAGCAATACTAGAGAACAAAGACAGTAGGCAAGGAATAAACCCTTCTGGAATTTAACCAATGTGATCTGTTATATAATAGTTAAACACACAAACTACATGGGAGAACAGAGCAGAAGGAAGTGCAGTAATACAGGTGTTTCCTTGCAAAACTCTTATGAAAAATCAAATTTGGGAGACTGCAAATACTGGCACCTCATTCTGAAACTCTGGTTTCAGTGCCAGATGGACCTCCTGTTTAATCTCTGTAATGAAATGGAATGCAAAGGTAGAGACTAATTAGATTATTTTTTGCCAGAAAGTAAAATGTAGCTATAACTTTCCATTTTTGAAAAATACAAGAATACCTAGAAAATAATTATAATATCAACAATAATAAGTAATTAAAGAAAGAAAGTAGCTATAAAGTGTTGTTGTTGTTGTTATGTGCCGTCAAGTTGGACCCGACTCATAGCGACCACTCCTTGGGTTTCCGAGGTGGTATCGCTACGGAAGTAGATTGTCCAACCTTCCTTCCAGGGAACAGCTGGTGGGTTTGAACCTCCAGCCTTCTGGTTAGCAGTCAAATGCCTTAGGCACTATGCTACCAGAGCTCCAGCTATATAATAGAATTTTAAAAATCTTAAAGCTGGAAGAATTCATCTGTATAAGTGAAACATCAAAACAGTTTTTCTTCTATTACATTAGTAAGGTTATTCACATTTACACATAATTCAATCAAATAAAGAAATACTTACCTCTCACCTCATTCTACCAAGTACACATTCATTAGAAGAAATCATTCAAAAGTGTTTAAGATAAAAGCAAAATTTTCTTCCTTATCCCACCCCACCTCTCTCAATCATCCTTCTCCTACATATAACCACTAACACACTTGTTGTTGAGTGAACTCTAACTCATGGCAACCCCATGGACATCAGAGTAGAACTGTCCTCCATAGGGTTTTCAATGCCCGATTTTTTTCAGAAGTAAAGCACTAGAGTTTTCTTTCAAGTTGCCTCTGGGTGGACTCAAAATGCCAACCTTTCTGTTAACAGGTGAGTACACTAACGTTTGCACCACCCAGGACTTCACTTCTAACTACTCTTAATAGTTCAGTTCATATCTTTGTAGACATTTTCTCTGCTTACTCAAAATATATGTATGTGTTTCCATATGACTTTTTTTTCCCCTAAAATGTTGGGGCTATTCTTTACACTGTTTGGCAATTTAAATTTTTCATTCTTTATACCTCAGAATTCTGCTAAGTCAATTCTTGTTGATCTACCTCATTCTGTTTTACAACTACATAGTATTTCATAGTACTGATAGCCCTGCTACTGTAATACTATAACTATTTCTCTGTTGAGAATCATTTATGCTGTAGTGGATATCACTAGTTTAGATTTTCATTTGCATTTTACTTCTAACAGGACTATGGAAACTGAAGTCATTGCAGAGTTTGGATCTATCATTCAATCAGATATCACAAATTGGTTTGACTGATTTTCATAACTGCCTACAACTGGAGAACCTCTATTTAAAGAACAACAAGATCTTCAGAATTCACCCAGAAGCCTTCAAGAATCTCAAAAAATTACAGGTTCTGAAATAATTTTTATAATATTTCATATATGCAAACATAAGAACAATTGCATTATAATAATATCGCTGCTGAAAAGTTTCTTCACATCCAGTAGGACTGGCTATGAGTAAAAAGAGATGGCTATTTTAAGATCCCTTAGAAAAGTCCAAGTCTCTTTCCTTAAAATCAAAGACCACAGTAATGGGCATGACTTTTACTCAAATGTGATACTCAGCTGTAAGAATTGGCACATTACTTTTCTAAACCAAATTAAATCCAGTTCTGAGTTTCTACTTAACCAGGTAGCAAAAAGTTAAATCTTAGTTATTAGAGAGGCCCCCACCCTAAGGTGCAAAACCAATAAATATTCCAGGGGTCATATACAATTTGGAACACTTGTGGAGGTCCTACTTAACACTGGACTGTACTGAGATGTCAACAACCCAGTACTATGTAGGCCCTGTAGACCTATGACCTTGTTGTTTCCATGCCCAAAGTTGGGCACAGTGTATTAGTAATGATGATGATAACAGCTCATGCTTGGGTAGAACTTACAACATGGCACACAACGTTCCAAATATTGATCCCATATTAAGAGGATTCATGATACATTTTGGAGCCATAAAGGCTATATCTCAGGTGCCACATCGTCCTGACAGCTGTGAGGGTGAGGAACTCCCACAAAGCCCTGCTCTAGGTTTGACAGCTTCAGCCTCTTCTCCAAGAACTTTTCTTCATCTCTTCCCCTATGGGAAGTTATTGAAAAATCTCCCCTCAATGGCCCTATAAACCTGCTGTCAAAGCTATTGAGTCAATCTCAACTCAATGACCCTATGGGACAGACTAGAACTGCCCCACAGGGTTTCCAAGGCTATAAATCTTTATGGAAGCAGACTGCCTCTTTTTTCTCCCAGAGATGGGTGGGTTTGAACCACAAACCTTTAGGTTAGCAGCCTAATCTTTAACCACTACATCCCCCAGAGCTCCTCAAATGGTCCTATAAAAACACCAAAATGGTGGCATCTAGTGGTGTGCTTCAACAATTTCCCTCAGAAAGATCAGCATAAGACCAGTCCCCATGAGGCAGAGGTTAAAGATGTCCCAAACGTCCAAACAACTGTACCACTCCATCATTTCAGACATTAACTCCTCCTCCTCCTCCCAGTAATTTCCCTAGTCTTAGGGTTCTGTATTTTGCTGTAATGCCTCACAGAACTCACAGACACCCAAGGGTTCATCTCACGTAGTAGTGGTGGAGGCTGGCAGGCTGGCGAGTCCCAGGTCCGTGAGTAGGTCTGGAGGATCCTCCCAAATCTCGGGGTTTGATGAATCTCGATCAGCAGATCAGATGACGGCTGCTGTCCCAAATCCAGGGGTGAGATGAGAATGAGCCAAGACACAAAACTGGAGCAAGAGGAGGGTGAATCTTCCCAGGAGATTCGTAGGTATACCCTCAAAGAAGCTAAGGGTGGTGATTTGAATTATACCCTCCAGCAAGGCAGGACTCAAGATACATTCCACCTGTGTTGCCCCAACAGAAATAACCTAAGTGGATGGCTTTAACAGTCAGACGTTCAAGGCAAATCCCATCACAGAGTCGATCGCCAGTCATTATAGGGAATGACTCCTACCAGCTGCCCAGCCAAGCTGATACCTGACCTTAACTACCACACCACCCCAAACAGGCATGGGTAATAGGATTTACAATACATCACAGAATGGAGGACAATGGCTAGAAGGGCCACATCAAGCAATTTACCACATGGTGGCATCCTGAGTGAATTGGGAGAGGCTTTAGCCCCTCACTGCCATAACCTCCATCACACACCCCCATTCTGTGATACAGACTGGTGTCATTCAATAGAAGCATAAAGTGACCCATGTGTAATTTTAAATGTTCCAGTAACTAGATGACAAAAGTAAACATAAATAGGTGAAATTAATAATATAATTTAACCCAATATATCCAAAATACCATCTTTGCAAAATGTAATCAAAATAAAAGTTTTTAATGAAATAGTTTACATTATCTTTTTTTCATACCAAGTCTTCAAAATCTCATGTTTGTTTTACACTTATCACACATCACAATATGTACTAGCCACCCCTGAACTGCTCAATAGGCACATGTGGCTAGTGGTTGTCACATTACACAGCACTCATAAAGACAACTGATGTTTCTAATTTTATGTAAAGTGCTATTCAAGCATATCTACAAGATAAGTGTCCAACCTTCCTCACCCTCTTTCGACCAAAATGGCTCCCCTAAGAAGGTTGGGCAATCTATTTCCATAATGATGTTGTTGTTGTTGTTAGGTGCCATCGAGTCATTTCCAACTCATAGCAACCCCACGCACAGCAGAATGAAACACTGGCTGATCCCGCACCAGCTCCACGATCCCTGCTATACTTGAGTCCATCATCCCAGCCACCATGTCAGTCCATCTCATTGAAGGCCTTCCCCTCTTTTATCAACCGTCCACCGTACCAAGCATGACATCCTTCTCCAGCTAATGCTCCCTTCTTACAACATGACCAAAATAGGTGAGACGATTCTGGCCATTCTCGCTTCCAAGGAGTATTTCGGGTGCACTTCCTCCAGGACAGATCTGTTAGTTCTTTTAGCAGTCCATGGTATTTTCAGCATTCTTCACCAGCACCGCAACTCAAAGCATCAACTCTTCTTTGGTTTTCCTTATTCATTGTCCAGCTCTCACATGCATTCGAGATGATTGGAAATATCATGGCTTGTGTCAGGCACACCTTAGTCCTTCAAGGAGACATCCTTGCTCCTCAGCACTTGAAATAGTTCCTTCGCGGTTGACCTTCCCAGTGCTACACGTTGCCTAATGTCCTGACTGCTGCTTCCAATGGCATCATTTGTAAAACCAAGCAACGTGAATTCTTTGAAAACCGCAATCTTCTCTCCATTTATTGTGATGCTGCTCATTGGTCCAGTTGTGAGGATTTTTGTTTTCTTTATATTGAGCTGTAATCTATACTGCAGACTGTATTCTTCAACCTTCATCAGTAAGGGCCTCAAGTCATCCTCACTTTCAGCAGGCAAAGTTGTATCATCTGCATATCTCAGGTTGTTAATGATTCTTCCTCCAGTCCTGCTGCCACGTTTTTCTTCATATGGTCCAGCTTCTCTGATTATTTGCTCAACATACAGATTGAGTAAGTGTGGGGAAAGGATACAACCCTGATGCACTCCCTTCTTGATTTTAAACCATGTAGTGTCCCCTTGTTCTGTTCAAATGACAGCCTCCTGGTC